CATCTCTCCAAGTCTCCGGCACACGCCCCAAAGAATACGAGCATTGGTAGCGGAGCGCGTGAGCACGGGAGACAACTCCGCTGCACATTTTTTAAGTACTACTGCTGGGATGCCATCAGGTCCACTAGCTTTCCGGACGTCGAGTGATTGCAATTCGGCACGAACCTCGCGCTGCCTGATTTTAATATCAGGCATCGTTGTGCCACAGTGAGGTAATGATGGTGGCAGTGCATCAGTGTTGCCAACTCGGATTTTGAAAAAGACGTAGGCCCGATGAGAAAATTACGTAGAATTGGTAAATTTTGCATATGAAAAGTAAGTAGATCTACGTACTTTTTTCTGAGTGAAATGAAGAAGTTATTTGAAACCGAAAAAAACGAGTATTTTGTTATACAATTTGTTTAAGAACGGGAGATAGAACAAAGAGTTCTTGGAGAAGTCGCTGCATTGGAAGCATTTACCATGCTGTGGTAAACATTTACCATCAGACACAGACACTGGTGGGTGCCGATTCTGGATAGTTCTCTAAATTTAAAACTTAATTTAACATCAGTCTCTCCTTTTCATTCTGTATAGAGAATGACAAGGATAAACTGTTGTTAAATGGGCTAGTTGACACTTTTTGGAATTATGTTTTAAATTCTTAATAATTGTTCTATCAGACAGAAAAAAAAATTTTTTTTTACCTAGAAGACATACGAAAATGCTCTTTAGTCTATAGTCTATATCTATTCTATGACGTCAAAACATTTGTAAACAAACACTCGAAAGCACGTAGGAAATAAACAGCTAAGTTAATATTATAAAACCATGATTTCTAATAGATCACATGAAAAATATAGTAGTTATCATGATACACTTGGTAAAAGACTCTGGAAAAGTTGTGGTTTAAATTGCCAAGAGAAAAAACATACTTACACATGAACATATGCTTAAAACTTGCTAAATCCTGTAACTTTATCGAGTGAAAGTCTTTTCTTTTTGCAAAGATCAATTCGATGTGAGTAGGTACTCATAGATAGTAGTAAAAGTTTAAAAATACAATTTTTAAGGTTATGAATGTACCTACTAAGTCAAAGAGTTCTGTCGTTTCTGCTTTCACAAATCCTGCGTCCAGCATTAATTTAGTCAACAAAACCAATAACGGGAACCTTTTCTACAAGATACAAGAGTGTTTAGATACATCTTTATAAGAAATAAACATTTGTATAGTTTTTAAGTAAAGTAACGGAAAATATTCTTCTTTATTCTAGTGAATTAAGTTATTTTACAAATTTGAAAAAAAATAAGAAAATACGTAGATTCTGGGACTGAAGTTAGTAGGTTTCCAGAAAAGGCCTAAAATACGTAGATCTACGTAAAAAGACGTAGAGTTGGCAACACTGCAGTGCATTGCAATCATCGATTAGGGAGTTAGCCGCAAAGAGTTTTGCCAGTAAATCGGCTTTCTCCTGCGGCTTATGGGCTAGTGTTCCGTCTGGGCATCTCAGAGGTAGCAGCGAGGGCTCGCAGAAGTTTTTTTGCACGGCCTTGGCCAGACGCCAGTAGCTACGGGAGCCCGTAGGATGCGTCATAAGTTCCTGGCCAACACGTGCAACGCGCTGGGCATCCGCTCTAATGTAAGCCTTCTTACAGGCCTTGGAAGCAAAATTGTAGGCTGCTTTGAGTGAATCCACCTCGGGATCCTTGAGAGCGCGACCTCTGATCCAAGCACGATATGCCGCTTGCTTACGCGAAGCAGCTTCAGCACAGTCGTGATTGAACCAGAGGTTACGCGTGCCCTTACTGATGAGATCAGAATGAGGGATATAGTATTCCATACCCATTATAACCTCCTCAGTAATGTCAAGATCTAATGTCGGTTACGATAACAAGTAGTGTTGCTTGCGCTAGAAAAAAACGATCGCTAGCCACGTAAGATAAAAATGCTCGTTGTCGCTTACGTTACGGCTTTAAAAATTTATGTATTCACGATAATTTTAGCACTTGCTATAACTTTATAACGGTGTTCTTTTGGAGGGAAATATCAACAGAGATGGGTCCGTTACGGTTTAAAATTATTAGTTTCCACAAAAAACGCATTTCGACAAAAGTGTCGCTTACGATAATTTGGCGGTAACGGCTCGATATATTATAAAAACGGGATATTTACCACGTGTTTTACTCGTTGTGAGCTCCTGATTTTTCAGCAATTTAAACGGTCTATCAAATTAATTTTTAGGAACACCGAGATAGAAAAGAAAGCACTTGCTATGTAAAAAGAACTTTATTGTTTACATATAAATGTTAGTGTCTTAATATTATGTATGAGGTTAATAACATACATTAATATACATAAATCGCGCAGATTAATGCTTAAAATAAAAATATAATAGACTAATATTGCTATTTCTTCTTTCAAATGTAAGTATTTCATTCATAGATTGAGTAGGTATTTGAAGACTGTCAGAGTGAGAAAAAGAGATATCATGGCAATCCTATAACGTAGAAAGAGACGCAACATGATGTACCTTTCGTCTAATAATATATTTTTTGCAAGAGCCGCAGCGCCCTGTCAAGTTGTACTGAGATAAAATTTATTATGAAATTCTGTGAAACTAAGAAAACAATAATGCATATAATAATAATAATAAATAAATAAATAAATATAACACAACACAAATGTGCTTATTACAAACTGAATAAGTATGTGTTATGGTATCCTGTGTTTTAAGCATATCTTGATAAATCGACACTATCACTCGGAATCAAACACCGATACGCACACATGCACAGATATTTTTTTGGAACAGTAGCGATAGGTACTCTGTTTATCTTTACATCCTATATCTATGGTTTCATTTGACATCGTGGTTTACCTACAATGCGAAGAAATGGCACTACCGTGCAGCCTAAGAAATACAAGAAGAAATTCGTCACGATCATTAAGTTCTCGGTAGCATAGCAATTAGTGCATCCACCCAGACAGCAGAAAATGCAGGTTCAAGTCCTGCCTGTAATTCGTTTGGTAATAATTTTGGTTATCGTAATTTAGTTTCAAAAGTTTATTTGTATAGTAGTTCTGTTAACGGGATTCAACTGTATCTATATATATAAAACTCAAAGGTGACTGACTGACTGACATAGTGATCTATCAACGCACAGCCCAAACTACTGGACAGATCGGGCTGCAATTTGGCATGCAGGTAGATGTTATGACGTAGGCATCCGCTAAGAAAGGATACACCGAAGCGAAGCGAGGGCGGACCGCTAGTTTTGAATATTTCTTCTTAACAGGCTCCGGTTTGATCGAAAACCAAACAACGTGTGCACTGCACACAGGTGTTATTCCCTTTGCAGTATCGAATAATTAAAACCCAGTCATCTCTACGGTTTCTATTTCTAGGAAACCTATTAGAAAGAAGACAAGACAATAATTTATATCAAATATTCTATGAATAATATGGCTTCTTTTCTTTTCCTTTTGGGATACGTAACCCTAAAAATTTACGAAATCTTATCTTGCCTAGTCACAAATGCAAGAAATACAAATTTCCCTACTTTTAGGGAAAATTTCCCATAAATAAAGTAGCCACACAGTTGTATTTTTGTTTACAATTTTCATCCTTGTAAATAAAATATAATATAAAAAAAATATCAAGAATCGTCAATACTTAAGCATAGTAGGTGATTCCTTGTGACTTTTCAAATTTACTCGTGTAGTTCTTAAAAGATTTCACCACACAAGACGGCATTTTTTTTAAAATATATCGGAGCAATTGAACGTGTGACTGGCGCTGTCACGCGAGTTCAAATGGCAGCGGATTGTCCGACCTGGTGCATTAGTGTGAGTGTTGGTAGTGTACAACACACGATTTTGTCTGACCTACATGTCATTGTCATGCTTCACAAGAGTTGCCTTTGATATTATGTCCGTCTTTTTTTCAGGTCCGTGGGTGAAACCATTGTTTGGCTTTGTTTGTAATTGCAGATTTGTGCAATTTGTATGCAGTTTGTTTATTATTCACATAGAAATAAGTATGTTTCTGAATGGTCTTATAATTTTTTAAGTGCAGGGTATACGAATTCACTGTTAGTTTAAGTAAAAAAATATTATTTGCAAACTTCCAAAATTGGAATCTATCGCGAAACTTACCATCGAAAAGGAAACTTTAGAGGTAATTTTCAACACTAGATGATGGACGCCTTAGGTCGTTTGTCCACTGCAGCCACCACTGAAAATCGAGATTATTTCTGTGCTAGCGGCCGCCCGCGACTTGGTACACGTGGAGTTAGTTAGAAATAAAGGTTTACTGCTCGTTCCCCGTAGGTGATAGCGTGATAATATGTAGCCTATATCGTCACTTCCATGGTAAACTTACGAATTTGATTACAGTTTCATAAAACCTACTACGCCTAAATATCGTATATTAATTTGGTAAGTATCCTTTAGGTGTATAAACATAAAATGCAGATTCAAACAATTAGACTTTTGGAACCGTCATTGATAAAATTGTGTGACTTTTGCCTGGTGTTAAGTACCCCATTATGTGCAGTTTTTTATTATAGATTTTGACTAAAAAAGCAGATTCGTAAGTTTGCCGTAGATGTGACGATATGTTGACCCAACTTCTTCATAATATTCGTGCCAAATTTGAAGTAAATCCATGCAGTACTTTTTGAGTTTATCCCGGACATACATACAAACAAAAATTCTAAAAACTATATTTTTGGCTTCAATATCGACTTAAGTTCACACCCCAAGTATTCTTTTAAAGAAATATTCAATGTACAGTTTTGACTTTCCTACCATTTTATTTTAAGTAGAGATGAGATCAACATGACGTGACGGGCTTACGGTGGAGAAGCGGCTATAGTAAATGTATGTGTCGCTACCTTGGCCCCATCATCTCGTTCTCGTTGACGTCCGTGGTGTACAAACGGCTTTATAGTGCTTACTTTAGGGCTAGGCTAATTGGTGTGTGTTAAAATCATTTATTTAAATACAAAAAGCAACTTACCAAGCGTGTACGCAAGGAATAGGAACACAGCAAGGACATACCACAGATGCCTGGGTATTATTTCAGCGTGACCATTGAGTTGGTGATCTACATTAGTGGCGTTTAGCAATGGCGTACTCGCCGCGTAGTAATCGTAGTCATAGTACGAGAGGAGCAAGAAATCGAGTACAGTCAGGAGGAACCCAGCGAAGGTCAATACGTTCGGTGCAACCCATTTGGGTACTAGCTGCAAGAATAAGAATATCATAACGTGACTCATTAACATTAAGTATATGAAGATAATTTGTTACTTAATTACACAAACACCAATTATGTATGTTGATAAAATAGTTATAAACTTTGGAGAATTATTATGAAATTTCCTATCTGCATTGAACCACTGACCCAGAAAAATAATTCAATTCATTAGTGCGACAGACAAACAATCAGCATCTACAAATGTTATCATACGAACATGTAACTCGTTATTCTGAAAACAAATGTGTATTTATATATATTGCACATTTGAAAGTATACTTGATAATGACAAACAGTTTTTTCTAGACCGGTCCGCTGGGTGCTGATAAGATCCTTATCATGAACAAACAACATGTTTGTTATACCTGCAGCTTGTGTAGTGTATATAAAATATAAAATGAGGAGCTGGCGAACAAAACGGTATAATTACATAAAATTTAATTTTACAGGAGCTTTTGGCATGGTTTTTAATTTATTAATTTTAACACTGTTTTAAATTTATTTGAGATTCCAATTCAAAATCTGGTCAAACTACATTTTTTTTACAGTCCGTAAAAAATCGAAATGATAATGCATTTTTACAAGACTTCTGTTTTTCCTATATTTCTTGATGCTTTTTCTTGTGTTTCTACTTAGTTGGTTTATTTTCCTACTTGACGAAATATGTCGAAAATAATATACGAATTAAAAAAAACCTGCTTGCTTAAAAATTAAGTTCAATTAAAAACAAAAAAAAAGAAAGTTTAGTAGTCTAGAATTCTGTTAAGTAAGAAGCAAAGCTATTTTAACAGTCGGAAGCCATTAAATATTGAACATTTGGCTGTAGAATGTCCTATATAAAATAAACAGTGGTGTTGATTCTCTAAACTAAAAACTAATTTTAACATCATTCTCTCCTTTTCATTCTGTATGAAGCATGATAACAATACACAGTTGTCAAATTTAAGTTCAGGTTTAGGGAATCATGCCTGAATCGACACCAGTGTATCACACATTAAATTTTATTCATAGAACAATAGAGATAACTGTCTATCTGATATCCAATTTTTACAACTATATTTTATATAACTTTCATGTTAATTAAAGAATTTTTAATAGATTTGGGAAATCTAATTGAAAATGTACTTAATTAAAGATATTGAGCAATACTAAAGGAAGTCCATTGTGTATTATGGAAATCCGATGGATGATTTTTTCTGTAATTATAATCATTGATTATGATTCTTATGCAAAATGGGTTATCATGGGTTATGATCACCATCATTAAAATCACTCGGCCCGCCATATTTTTTTTGTCAAGCATAAAAAAAATAATGCCAAATAGTAGGGGCGTAACACCATTGGTTCACAAAATTCAAAATTTTATGTTGCTTTACTGTTATGAACAATAAAAATCTTTAAAATATTGAGTTGCTTCATTGCCGAAGTAACCCTGAAATGTTCACGAAACATAAACAGATTGGAGCTGAAAGACAGACTAATTCATATGATATACATAACTTCGAAACTTCGAAATTTTTAACCAAAGTCGTGTATAAGCAATTTTGGCTTTGCACTGTCAATATTATGTTACATGTATGACATAGATTCTTTAATAAAAATGCTTGGTAGTTTGGAACAAATATTTGATTTGGACTTGTCCATAACATTCTTTTTGTAGTCAAAGTTAAGTTAAATTTTTTACAGTAAGTGTACATAAAAATGAACATTTCATTTTCTCAATTGGTAAATTTAACCGAACTGAAGCTGGGGCGGGTCACTAGTGGTTAGTACAGAAAAAAAACTTACCTCTACAACCTTGTTCCAAAATGGATGCATTACATATACACTGAGAGGGCTCGTGTCAATAGCCATATACTGGAAAATAATATAAAATAGTATTAGGTTTCATGAAGCTATATTTGGATAGTGTTGCAAAATAATGGTTTGTAATAATAAATAAGAGCATATTATAACTTTTTTATTTTTTTTATTGATAAAAACAAAGTTTTTTTACAAAATTAAAACGAAAACACTAAAACTCCGCGTAACTAAAGATCAATACTTAGTTACACAGGTTATAATCACATTTCAAACCAGATTTTATAGCTCTGTTATTGCTAACCTCTATGTATGGTGATAGAGTTGATGTTTCAAGTACAACAAATATATAGTTAATTAAATCAGTTAAATTACCTTATAATTATCGAACCCCTCGAGATGTTCCCGAGTGAGATATTTGTAGTTGAACATTTTAGTAGTTTTCGACACGGTAAATCTAGTTGAAATACTTTGTTGCTTGAGTGCCTATGTTAAATAGCTTTAAAGCACATTATTATTAATAAAGAATTAATTTAAAAAACAAGATCATAATTCAATTTACGGCGTACAACCAACACTAACAGGACCTCACTAATCTGTCATCACAGACTAGTTAGAGATACTACGTATCTGTCATCGTCATTTTTTTTTATTTATTAATGGCTCGCACGGTTTGTCCATTGGCCACTACAGAGTAAAAGGTAAGGAAACCAAAATAATGAAATAAAAAGGTTGTGAAACGAAATGTTAATAATATAGGCATGTGCGCATATTATTTATTTAAGGAAAATTATCACAACGTTACATGACATTAGTTTTTCTTCATACATCACGAATTCTTAAGTGACAATGGTGTCGATTCTGGCGTGATTCTCTAAACTTAAAACTAAATTTAACATCAGTCTCTCCTTTTCATTCTGTATAGAGAATGACAAGGATACACTGTTGTCAAATTTAAGTTTAGATTTAGAGAAACATGCCAGAATCGACATCAATGTCAAACGACCATAACTAACACCACCTCTGACCACTCAATGAATTTGATATTGCTAATAGTTATTAATATTTACAAACTGAAACCATATGACTTAAACAAACAAAGCCTCCCCTCAAATAAAAATCCTAACATAAAATTACAACTACCTACTTAACTCAATTTATTAACAGCACATATAACTATAGACTTAATTATAACAACCTTTATATAACAAACACTTATTTTTACTCAATTCTTATCTTTCTAACAAAGTAGGCATGCTTTACAGAATTGAGAGGATTTGTAAATATATCCGCTACATTATCATTAGTAGAAACATATGACATTCTAAATTTCTTTTGGATAAAAGCATCTTTGTTTTCGTTACACTCTATCATGCGAATTGCACTTTGACTATCTATGAGCAGATAGGTGTTGAACATCCTTACACATAAATGTGTTGAGAATACCTTGCAGATATATTATCTCAGCCGTTGTTGTTGCTCCCGCTATATATTCCGCTTCTGCAGACGATAGAGAAACGGTGTTCTGCTTTTTGGTAAACCAAGAAATAAGATTACCCGAATAGACATCTCCCATCTCCTTCACGTTGAATTATTTTCTTAGTTCACTTATTATTGGTTCATAATCTCCCATCACAATAATGTCATCTACCCAGATAAGTATCCACGTGTTTGAACTTGTGTACAGACAAAACTCATATTTAGAAATTTTAGGAAATAATAAAGTTATGAAATTTCTCGTTGTAAAATTTCGGTGCTTCTTTGACCATACAATGAACGTTTCAATTTAAGGACTTTGTTTTTATTAATCTTCATTCCTTTTGGTGGTTTTATGTACACTTCCTCTGATAAATGTGTGTTCAAAAATGCTGTGGGTACGTCAAGTTATTTCATAGGTAAATTTACTTGTACTGCTAAACAAAACATCATCCTTAATGTAGACAGCCTAGCTACAGGAGAGTAAACATTATATCTATTTTCTGTTTGAAAACCCTCAGCCACTAATCTAGCTTTCTGATTTCCTCCTTGTTTTGTTCGAAAAACCCACTTGGTATCAATAGCTTTCTTCCCTTTTGGTAATGTTGCTTCTTCCCATGTATCTAACTGTTTCAAAAAATTAAGTTCACTCTCAATCGCATCTTGCCATTCCTTTCCTTCTTTAATTGCTTCTTCATACGTTTGAGGATCTGTCATTAAACAATAAACAATATTACTTTCATATTCATTTACAACATCTTCGTCACAATCATAATCTCGTAGATACGTTGGTGTTTTACAAATTCTTCCAGATCTAGTTTTCTTTAATTATTCTATTTCTGGTTCATTTTTGTGAAGATATGATTTTATGTAAAACCTTCTTGTTAGGGCGACTCGATGGCCTGTTCTCTATGTCACCGTTACTTCATTCTAGGACTTTAGCAAATACGTCAACGGTGTATACCTATAAAGTGTAAAATGTGATTGGGACTACATAAACTAAATATTACGAGCTGATTGTTTTTCCTTTCTACGATCCACTTCCTCAACATGGTAGCAAAGGAGCGTTGTTGAATAAAATAAATAGAAAGAGGAAGATAAGTGGAAATTATTTGACAAGGTCAGTATCGAAACAATTGAAGACGTAAGCTACCGAAAATGGAAGTAAAGATAGGAGAAGCGGGCATTCAGATATTTGATGGTGCAAATTATGAAAAGTGGAAATTTAGATTAAAGTTGTTGTTACAAATGAAAGAATGCCAAGAAGCTGTGGAAAATAATATGAAACATGAAGGTATGACAGACACAGAATGGAAAAAATTGATTTAAAGGCTAGAAATATTATAGTGAATAGCGTAAATAATACTCAGCTCGATATAATAATGAATGAAACTACGGCTTACGGGATGATTAAAAAATTTGACGAGATGTATTTAGTAAAAGGCAGTGCTAATAAACTATTGATTAAAAGGAAAGTACTAGAAACAAAATTCAAAGATGGTGACGATATACTAGAATTCATACAAACATTTGAAAAACAAATCAATGAATTGAAAAATGCTGGAGAAGTCGTGTCGGAAGAGGATAGACTGAACTATTTATTGCTTGCATTACCTGAGAGTTTTGCACATATTGTAAATATTGTTGATGCGATGCCGACAAAGGATCGGACAGTGGAGTACGTGAAGTCCAAATTACTACTTGAATGAAAAGAAAACAGAGCGAACAAGAAGCTCATACGTTCAGTTCTCGATCAAATCAACACCAAGATGGGTCCAGGAATAATGATAACTGCTTTGAATGCAACCGCCCAGGACACTACAGGAGGGATTGTCCTAAGTTAGCACGTCGTGGTCATGGTCGTGGTAGAGGACGCGGATATGGAGGCGGACGACGAGGAACTCACAGAGGATATAGAGGAGGATACAACAATAGAAGCGTGAATACAGGACAAAGTAGCAGCACCAGTGATGGATTTGGATTCAACGTAGAAGTAGAAGCGATGACAGGAGCTACTGAAACGAAAGCGGATATAACATGGTTATTGGACAGCGGATGTAGCGATCATATCGTAAATGACGATAAATTCTTTCGTGATTATAAAATTTTAGAAACACCTGTGAATATTAAGGTAGGTGATGGATTTTGTCTTAAGTCGGAGAAAATAGGAAATGTAACAATGTACTGTAAAGCAGGAGGTAAGTCAAATAAAATTGATGTTTCCAATGTATATTATGTTCCAAATATGAAAAAGAACTTATTAAGCGTTTCATGCATTGTAAATAGAAATAATACAATTCAATTTAGAGGAGAAATAGCAAATATATATAATGTACATATAGGTTTAATGGCCGTCGCATGCAAGAAAAATAAATTGTACGAATTAGATGGCAGAGTTAATTTAGGTGCAGGTACAGTAGCATACACAAGTGGTAACATTATGTCAGAAAAAGAAAAAATGGCATAGAATACTTGGGCACCCTAACTTTAAGAAACTAAATGAAATGTGCAGGCATAGGGTTGTAGATGGGTTACCTATCACTTTAGACGAGGGTTACGTGCAATTTGAAGTTTGTTTGATGAACAAAATGACAAATCTACCTTTTGGAAATCAAAGACGACGGGCAACAGACTTGTTAGAGATCATCCACACGGATGTGGCAGGCCCGATTACGCCCACTGGATATAAGGGGCAACGATACTTTGTGTCATTCATAGATGACTATAGTAGGTTAGCTTATCTATGCTTAATTAATAACAAGAGTGATGTTTTGAATTGTTTTAGAGATTATGTAAATATGGTGGAAAATCAAACAGGTAAGAGAGTGAAAGAAATCAGATGTGACAATGGCGGAGAATATATTAACAACGATTTCTACACTTACACAAAGCAAAAAGGTATTTATTTAAAACCAGGGCCAGCTTATACACACGAGTTGAACGGTGTAGCTGAAAGATTTAACCGAACCATAATGGAGAGAGCGAGATGTCTGCTTACAGAAGGAAAGATAAATAAGAAATATTGGCCTGAATGCGTAATGACTGCAACATATCTAGTTAATAGAATATTAACAAATACGTATGAGAAAAAAACACCGTACGAAATTTTTATGGGGAGGAAGCCAAATGTAAGTAATTTAAAACTTTTCGGATCACAGTGTTATGTACGAATTCCAGACGAATTACGCACATCAAAACTTAACCCAAAGGCTACAAAAGGTATATTAGTAGGATACACAGATACGGGATACAGAGTATTAATAAATGAAAAAATATTAATTAGTCGTCACGTTACATTTATAGGTACGAAAGAAGAACAGATAATAAAGATAGTAAATACTGAAGATGAAACTGATGAAAACGAAAAATTTTATGATAGTGTTGAGGACTCAAAGGAAAAATCAAGTAGAGCTGTGACTGAGGAGGTGACGGATATCCGACCAAAAAGAGAAAGAAAAATGCCAGAGAAATATAAAGATCATTTGTATATATAAATTTTAGTGATGCACTGGTACCAGATACGTATGATGAAGCAATAAAAAGTCCAGATGTAAATAAATGGAAAGATGCAATGAAAGAGGAATTGAACAGTTTGGAAAAGAACGAAACATGGATTTTAGTTGATAGACCAGAAAATAAGAAAATAATAGATGTTAAATGGATCTTTAGGATCAAGTCGAATGGGAAGTATAAGGCAAGAGTAGTCGCACGAGGTTTCCAACAGATGTATGAAGAAAACGAGGAAATTTATTCACCAGTAGCGCGAATGACGACAATGAAAGCTTTATTATCAATTGCATGTGTAAGAGGATGGAACATTGAACAAATGGACGTTGAGACAGCATTCTTGAATGGGAGTATTAAGTCTGAAGTTTATATTTACCCACCTGATGGATATTGTACAGAGAATAATAAAGTGTGCAAACTACAAAAAGCTCTATATGGATTGCGAGAAAGCCCACGTGATTGGTATGAATGCTTTCGCGAATTCATGTCAAGCATTAATTTCAATAGGTCAGACTATGACTATTGTTTGTATACAGGGTGTGTAAATAATGTAAATATATATCTATGTCTGTATGTGGATGATATTTTGATTTGTGGGGAGAAA